CTCCATTGCACCCTTGTACTCTGAAAAACTGCTTTTTAAATTCTCTTCTCTCAGTGGCATGCTTCTAGTTTTGGCAGTTTTACTTTGTAAGAAATCCCTTTCTTACTATTCTAGTATATGTTCAGCTGTTTTTAACTCCCACAATAACTTAATGCATCAAAACTAAACTGGTTTTACCACTATGTAATATAGGGTGACTAATAAGTAGATTCTTACTGCATCCAACTGTGTAGTTCCCTTTCTGTTAGCCTCACTGCTCAAAAAGGTTGCACATTATTCCTAAAACACTGTTGTTCCCAAATGATAATATAAATTCCAAACCAGGCAACACATGTAAGGAATGTAGACTCTTCTGGTGTGTACCTCTCTATGTGGCAGGGATTGAGAAGCATCACCAAAATGAATCTTCAGGTGAAAAAGCTTTTGCATCATATGTTACCTGCAGCAAAGTTTTTAGCAGTAGCAGTTTCATCAGTAGGGAACTGGAAATCTGCTGGATTTAGAGCAGGCTTGCTAGTAGCTTCATTACTGTCTGTAGCAGATAATGGCTAGGAATAAGGTAAACGGATGGTTAACAGGTTACTTTTCACATAAGGGACGTAGAGGTTTTGATAATGGACTAATAAAAGCCTTGCAGTGCATTAATTGTTGTTTGAGTCACTAAAGTGTTTTACCCTCAAGCATCCTTGGAAGACAGGGTAGGCCATATCAGCAGTCAGACTACATCAGCAGTGCAAGCGATCTGTAAGCACTGTTGATTCTTCTTAGCACTGTCACAAGGTAAGGGAGATAGCAAAAAGATTTATGCTCCTGAACAGAAATACTCTGAATAGCCAGGAGGCCTCAAATATAATGAATCAAGGAAGGATTAGGATTTTTTTTACATCTGTGTGCGAGTATTTATTTACATATCTCTCTACATAGCTATATATAGGCACATATATATATATATTAAAAGACCCCCAAAGGACCTGCAAATTTACTGAATTACATAAGTTACAATTAAAGTAAAATATATGGTCTATATTTATTATTAATATCCAAACCAAAGCAAATTGTGGTTGTAGTACAGTATTAACAGGAAATGTCCAGGCTATTAGTTATTGAAACGTACATGTCTGAGCTACTGCCTGGGAATTTTTAATGTATCCAGCTGAGTTCCTGGTGTAAGTAGTTTAGTGTTTCTTCTTCCACACAGAAGGCATCTCCTTTTAAGCTCTTTTCTGTTGCTAATGCATTATTTATTTAATTTGTATCGGGAATGATTCCTCCTCTCTTCAACCCGAGTATCACAGCAACCTAATGAGTAGGCAAATATTCAGGAGGGAATGAAGAACACAGCACTGGGAACTGGACAGTTAGCTGATGAAAAAACTCTCCGTGAGCGTGCCAGAGCACATTCACGCATGCATACACACGCACAAAATAAAATTTTAGGGACCAGCTCGAGCTGTGGGCATTGTGATGAATATTTTAAGGCGACAAATAGCAGTGTTGGCCACATGTGCTAATATAGCCAGATTTTTCTGCTGAGCAAAGCTCTTTCCTAGCTAAAAACTGTGCCTGAACTTAGGGGAAACATGTTAAATTCCCTGCTTGGGAGAGGCTGAGCAGAACATAGTAGATTTTACGGTGACCTGCTCAAGTGTATGAAACTCTCTTGAGGCAGAGGAGGCAGTGATGGTCAAGTGTTACAGAGCTTTTAGGGTTTCAGCTCAAGTCCCCGTGCTACAGCAAGTCCCTAGGATACTGGCTGCCCACAGACAGCTATGTTTGCTGAGCTGCAGCACCAGTGGCAGCTTGGCTCACCCCACGCACCCCTCCTGCCTCGCACGGGGAACCTCAGCTGCTCTTAACCAGTCTTTTCAAAGGCTTCGAGGCACAAATGCTATCTGCGAACTGTTGGGCTGGAACACAGGAAAAACAGGAATGCAAAAGAGTGTAAATGGGGAGAAGCATGGCTTTAAAAATAACAATAAAAACTGTTAAGTTCTTTTCACATGGTTAAGATTTAAATAGCCTCTGGGAGTAGTTAAACTGGGTAGAGAAGCTGGGATTTTCAGTATTCCCTCAGCTGGACACCTTAAATGTACCATTTTTGTTTGACATGCGACGTATTTGCATAGAAGTTAAAAATGCGATTACTTGACCATCCTAACAAAGCACTCGACAGAGAGCAGCCTGGCAGGCCTCTCTGGGGTGCCGCATTTCCCAGCAGCAGCCAGGACAAGACATTTCAAGAGAAGGCAGAGGAAACCCAACACAGGCAGTTGCAGAGTACTGGCTCACCAGAAGTATTTTCCTCCCCCATTCAGAGTGGTTTCTGGCTCATCCAGACCTTCGAGTTTTTAGTGCATCTTTTGTTTCTCTTTAAAATGTGTGTGTGGTCACTATCCATATAAATGTCACTATTGTGATCTCTTTTAGCTATTATCTTTCCCATGACAACAACTGCAGTCTTTTTAGATAGTAGCATTGCCAGGCTTCCAATAGCCTTTCTGTCATGTCGAGGACAATGTCTCCATGTGTGCTGCTTGAAGGGGCTCGTGGCCATTTTGTAACTTGTGGTTGTCCTTTGCCGACACTCCCTCGCAGCCGCGGAAGAGACAGTAGCACAGGCTTTTCTGCAGGTCCCAGCAGATGACGGCAGCCCCATCTTCATGCAGTAGCTCACCACAGACATGCATTTGAGAGCGTTTGCAGAAGACAAGTCATGTAGCTGGGCTGCACGACAGCTCATTTGTATTAGATTGTTTCTCCACCGAGACCTTTGAGGAAGAATACAGCCACGTGGGAGCTGACCTTAGCGTTTAGCTGCTTCTTAGCAAACAAACTCGGTATTTTCCCCCCAGCATCTATCTGCGTTTCGGTTCAGACTCCAAAGAGCATTTTCTGTCTCTGACCTGAAGAGGGCACAGGTGGCCCCTGCTTCCCCGCACCCACACCGCCCGGCTTTGGCACCTCTGCAGCCCCAGGCCTTTACCTCGGGTAGGGCAGGGGCCAGCCCTGCTCGGTTGCTCTTTTTAATATGCGCTTAAACCAAAACCCAGACAGAGAAGATTTTTTTTATTTGCATGTTGGGTCATAAAATTTTACTTCTCTTTATATTGCTGATTGTCGCTTATTGGGGGGGGATCTTTCTCATGAAAAAATTATTTTCCAGTTCTTGCACATTTGGCTTGAAAATATCGCTGCCTTCACCCCTTTAATAATAATGGTTTATTTCTTCAGTTTAGTTTGAAGATACTCGGAGTCTTGGTGGTTTGCATTATATGCCTTATTTTCCTGCTTTGGGAGATGGAATTATTTCAGCATAGGATGGGCTTCGACTGGTTGAATTATTTAAGCCCCTTTCAACAGAGTGTCACTGTGACAGCTTTTGGCTGTGTTCCTCAGCCTCTCATGTTAAATTTGATTAAGCTGTTATCACCATTAATTCATAGTTCATCTACATTTACCTTTCGAATGCTCCCATATAGCGCTTAGCCCTAAGTCAAGCGTAGCCTCGCTCCCCAAGGTTAATCCTAACTGCTGCAAGAAGCAGTTGTGTGAACTGGTGAGGGACTGCTATTGCAAATCATGGTTTATGGTGCTTGAACGGCTTGTGCAGTGGTAGAGGAAGACACTAGTGAGATATTTAATTTGTTTTTTAGTTGATTCTTTGTACGCTTGCAATGGTTTTGCTCAATATTTCTTTTCCAGGTGATGTATATTATAACTTGCAGGGCTACTTTTATTTCTACGCCTCAGGACATGTAGCTGTAAAGTTTCGGCAGAGTGGCTCTCAAACAGACAGGTGGTTTTTCTAGCATCTGAAGGTTCTAGTGCTGCTCAAAGAGATGCTTCTTCTGTTTAGCAAAAGCTCCAGAGGCAGCAGATAGTATATGGTGAACATATGGCCCATGCAGCCCGCACATTTGGGAGTGTCACACTGGGCTATGGAGCAAAAGGCCATTTGCCACAGTTACCGTAGGAGGGTAAAAAATCCAGCTTCTACCTATTTACTCATTTACAGGGTTAGTTTAATGCAGCTTTAGAAGAGGCTTGTACGTAAATGGCCAGGTTTTTGGTCCCATCTTCTGCACCATGCCATCTTTCTGGCTGTAAATGGCCAAAAGACTGTTCTTTGGCAAAGGGTTCATCCTGTCGGGGCCAGCTGCTGGACCACCCTTGGTGGAACGGTTGCATTGTGGCAGGGAAGAAGCACTGAACCTTCTCTGCTCCACTGGTGGCAGAGGATGACCAGGGACCATGGAAGTGGGTTGGTGAGGCTTTTCCTCAGCTGCTCCAGCTCGCTGTGGGAGCACTGGGTCAAGGTCGGTTCCCTGAGCGGGACTGCGCCAAAACTCCTCTGCTAGCCCGAGTCCCAGATGTCTGGGGGGAATTTTCCATCTCTCAGGTACAGCTACTTCTCAGTCTTCCACTGAGCAGTGCCGCCACAAGCAAACACTTACTCAGGCTTTTTGTTTGAAGGGACACCACCATCCTTTGCAGTTAAAGCTGTATTTCTAAGTCTGAAAATCCTACATGAGAAATAACTGAAACTAATGCTTTTCTTTGTCTTGGCTGAAACTTGGGTGTAAAGCTTTACTCTGTTACATCTATGATGGCACTTAAATGATTTACTTGCATTTACTTGCTCTAACTGCATTCTCCACTTCTGTTCTCCATATGTGTTTCTCGGCTCACAAAATTTTAAATTAAAACTGAGCTGTGTCTACGTTGCTTACATGAGTGGTGTCATTTTGATCCTGTCATTATGGCAGTACAGGAAGTCAGTGTAGAGAAAGAGAAATCTTTTCTAACTCCCTTTCCTCCTAATGAATACCTGAAAGCAGCACTGCATTGTTACTTTTTTTTTTTTTTTAAACAATATACTTTGTACCTGCAAAATAAACGTTTCTATAGTTTGGCCATCATGGAAATAGGGCCCTTCAAGTACTTCATTTTCCCCTATTGTGGTGTGGTATGTGAAGTTTTTCTGTATTTTTTTTTTCTAGGCTTGTTCCCAACATAATCTCTCCACTTGTCAGCCCCCTGAAAGCATTAGTTCCACCTTCCCTATTGCAGAAACATGGCTCTCCATCATCACACAGCCAGTCACCAAATGGGCAGCAATTTTCTGGAATACCAAATAAACCATACGCTCAATTTCAAAACCAGTCTGTACAGCAGGGATCTCAAGGTAACTCTTCCTTCTTCTTTTTTTCCTTTTTTTCTTTTTTTTTTAAACTTTCCTAATTCCTAGTTGGGGAGAAAGAATTTATTTTCGTTTTTTTTTTCATTTTCAGCCAATACTGTCTTATTAAGGGACTGACAGCATTTCAGTGGGAACTCCTGTTTTTAAAGTGGCTTGATACACATACAGAGCAAAATCTTCAGACCAGTTCATGCTGTGATGCGTTATCATAATGGGGAAAGCTATCACAATAGCAGATTGATTGCGTTTATTCAGGTTTTTTAGGACATGTTTTCAAAAAGGTCCTTACAAGAATGAATTATGCCCCTGAATAATTTCTTAATTTAAAGATGAAGCGAAATATTTGGCACAGACTCACTCCTTCAGTGTCAGTAGAAGTTTGCTCTCGCCATGCAGTAGATGGCTACTAGCTAGGTACCTCATCTACCTGGCTATGCAGCCGCCTGTCAGCTTGGAGAGAGTGACCCTGCAAGAGCCATCTAGTCACACCATACACGGGCTGAAGCACATCTTGGCAATGTCCTGCTCAGGCCACTGATAGTGATGCACTAGACATGAGCTTAGACAATGAAAAAATATTTTGCTATTTATTATTTCTAAGTTTGGCATCTGTATTATTTTATATGCAAAGGCACTCTGTGCAACTATGCAGTGCCAATGTGATTTCAGGACAGGAATGGGAGCGGCTAAGCAGCTGTCCCACTGCTTATTTTAAAACATTTTTTTCATTCTTAATTACTCAGCCTTTTTCATCAGGAGCTTATTTACCTATCCTGGAGTTCTGCTGTGGGAACTAAGTAATGTTTCTGCAATTTTTGAGGTATATATTAGCAAGAGATAGTATTATCACAGACTCTTCCAGTAACAGGAGCTTGCATATTTAAGAAATACGTTATATAATCGGGATGGTATTTTTTTCGTTCTTAATTACCCAGCCTTTTTCATCAGGAGCTTATTTACCTATCCTGGGGTTCTGCTGTGGGAACTAAGTAATGTTTCTGCAATTTTTGAGGTATATATTAGCAAGAGATAGTATTATCACAGACTCTTCCAGTAACAGGAGCTTGCATATTAAGAAATACGTTATATAATCGGGATGGTATGCCACTTAAGTGTGGTAAATATTCACAATAAAGAAGTGTGCAAGACATCTGTCTGGTTGCAAGTATAACCAAGCGTGTAAGTTTATACAGGCAGATAACCAGCTTTTTGAAACTTGTTTCACAGCTGTACTGTCATTTGTATAAGGTCATTTTTGGCTGGCAAAGTAGCACATGTGATCAGTTTACCAGTGGGCAAAACAGGAGGTTTGCTTTCTCGGGCTAGGTCTCAAACACAGGAGTTGAACACAAAGCCAGTGAGCAATCCACTGCTCACTGTAGTGGGGCTCAGGATCCCACCAGTTCCCCCTGCCCTTCATTCTGTGAGGAATATTCTTGCTCTTTGGCTGGACCGAGTTAATCTGAAAAGTTAAAGCGTATTATATTAAATGATTTGTGCTGAAGGAAAAACTAACTCAACCTGATGCTCAACAGATTATTCAATTTAAAAAGATTAACTCTGTAAGGGAAAAGTGGCAGATTTATGATAGCACATAATGATATATGATTATGTTACTATAATGAGCTAAATAACTACAAACCACAAGAGGAAAGTTTAGCAGCTCATTACTATGGCAGAAATAAATGCATAGACAGAACAAGTTTTGAACCACTTAAATAAATTGACTTTATTCCTTAAGAAAACCACACTTCCTTTTGAATGAATTGTTGCTAAGTGTTATGTCGTGTGGTTTTGAAAAAGCAATAATTTTCCACTTTGGCCAAATGTTGAAGTATTATTATAAATTCATTATGGAAATGGTCATTCAGAAATCAATTTTGATTAGCAGCCTTTGAAATAAATAGATCTGTAACGTGTACTTAACTGTACTTGCACTACATCTTTTTTGCATCTCAGTTCATTAATAGCACATTTTTCTAATGGAATCTGGAGTAATTTGGGAGTTTTGAATTTTTGCCGAAAAAAAGGAATAGTATATACATCTAGCTGTAGAACTAGAAGCCTGTGTAGAAGCATATAAACATTGTGGATCTGAAATTTTTAGAAGACAGCAAGCTTCGTCAAGCTGGTAGCAGAAATATTGATAATGAAAGAATAAGCTGACATTACTTATATGTTTAAACCTAGTTGTAGTAAGATCACATGGAAATTATTACATGCTGTAAGAATTTGGCAGGCAATGGAATCCTGTAGTTATTTATACCTGACATGATTTGTTGTCAGAAATTTTATGGAATTTGAAAAGCTGATTTATTTGCACATACATGTAAATGACATGACATAACAAGATGGCATTTAATAGGCATATTCCAATTATTTGCTCATTACATCATTCATTTTAAAGCAGCTTGAAGTTTTCTAGGCTGTGCCTTTGAGAAACAGAGGCAGCCAGTGCACTGTGTGAAGTGGCTAACTGCAGCTTTTCTGTCACAAATTATTTCAAAGCAAAATTTTAACTAAATGTTATGTTTGGAACTGGGTTTAGTATTTTATTAACTGCTATATTTCTACATCTACCGTATATAAAACATTTAATTGTGATCGTTTAAACTGACAGGACATTTAGTAAATTCTTCACTTGAAAATTAACCTCAGAAATTTTTTTATTTAAATCAAAACTGAAGGAAAACCTGAAATCCATGTGGAAAAAAAAATATTGGTGAAACACTTGCCAAAATTGGTACTATACTTTTACTCTCCTAGACGGGGCAGGGATGTTTGCACCAGACAAGCCTTCTTGCTTACTTCATATTTTAATCACTGAAGGGCGTCTTTTTTAAGACTTGTAAAAAATGTTCCATGTTTAGTTTACTGTAATCAACCACATGTGGTAGCTAATTGAACCATTGATTATGGGATTTTAATGATATCTTAATTCCTAATACTTTCTGTGTAAAACATTTCAAAAAATCTAAAGGAACCACAACGAAATAGCATGAACCAAAAGCACCTTGGTTTCATACCGCACATTTCAAAACTGTATAAATGCAGTAACGCTCTGCCTTGTATTGCATATGCAAATCAAGCATTGTATTGCCTGCAAGCAACAAGTTTCATTTCCTGTGGTTGTGTAAAATGAATGAAACCTTACCTGGCAAGAGCACCCGTTGTTCCAAAAGTCCTTGTGGTTGCTTTAACTCACATGGCCTTTCCATTTCTTGTCTAATGACTTTGTTTTTTGGGAACATTTAGCATTTAAACAAGCTGGCAATTTTCCCCTTTTAATAATGTAAAAGATGCATGAGGCTCAGATCCTCTGGAACAGACTGACTGGCCTCCTGAGCCATGCCAGGCTACTGAAGGCCATCAGCAAAAGCCAGCCTACATGGTATCAAAAGAAACTCTCCAATTGTGACTCTGAAGCAGTAGATGGGATTATAGAAAGTATATAAAAAGTCATGAAAAAAATCTTACTGACATAGCAACTCACTGATCCTGCAGTCCTTCAACCTGGAGATAAGCAATTTCAGTCACTCCAAGACTTATTTCCACCTTCCAGAACTGACTTTCAGCTGACTACATTTTCAAATACAGCTTTTAATACTGCAAGCACAATTCTTCCTACCCAGGTGTTGCTTCATGCCCAACTGAAGTGCAGGGAACATCGCCAAATTCTTCCTATATGTCCTGGTAGTGGAACTGTAGATCACGTTCACCAGCTGCAACTGCAGTTCTTCAGCATTTCAGATGTAAGGCCAGAGCCCTCCAGAATAAAACGCTGCCACCGTCACTCCCCGTGAAACCCCCATGCTGTCACGTGAGAGGTTATGCCAAAGATGAATCATGTAAACACAAAGAGAAATACAAGTGCTTGCTGACAGGTCTCCACCCAGGCAGAGAACTGTCTGCTGTACGATGCCTGCGTAAGGGATAAAGCAGGCACTGTCTAACCCACTAATCTTCTCAGTGCTCTTGTCTATGCAGAAGAGCTGCTTTGAGTCTCCAGCTTTTCCTCACCTTTTGCAATTGCAAAAGCTGTTGGGAGTCTCTGTCTTTCTCCTTCACCTTTCATCCTCAAGGAAGCAGCTACCTGCCTTGTAGTCCACTCCTCCCATAGCCATCCCTGTGCCTTTCTCCACACCCACAGAATGCCTTCCATAAAGCCTCTATCCCTTCCTTATCGGGCCCTGCTGTCTCATCATTTCTATGTAACTAATGAAAAAGGAAACAAGCTTTCATTACACTGCTCAGGTCAGAAGGGTTAAAAGTCCCATTTTTAGTGTCATGGTTTGTTTTACCTGACCAGTGTTCCTGCTGCAACCTTTCTCTTCCTCACTCCATCTTTTCTGTTTAGTTTGCTACCTACATTTATCACATCTGCAAGCACATGAAAATAGGAATGGTGTGTTTCTCTGTACTTTCTTTGGGCAGCACTTTTAGCAGAAATTTGGTCCTGGTGATACAACAGGGCAGTAACGCTAGAATTTTCCTACCTTGTGTCTCTTCATTGGATAGTACCAGTAACACTTTTTGCACTGCCTTTTCAGATTGTCACACAGTGATGCCAAGGGATAGATACTGCAATCCAAAGGAGAATTTGATTGCTTATGGCAGTACTTTTCCAGACTTCTGAGTCTGAGGCAGTTCTCTGCCTCAGGTATTTTTTCCTGGGCAGCTAGACAGTGTAACTTAAAACACTTTAAAACAAACCTTTACCCATAGGTCTTGAGAAAACCCTGGATCCAACTAGTTTCAATCCTGTTCTGTCATGCTTGGCTGTTCTCTGATTTTCTAAGCCACTGTGCCAGCCCTGTAGATCATAAAGATGCTTAATTGATTTAACAAAGGCAAGCCTGGGAGCATGACGAAAGGGCAGCAGTTACAGAGACAGAGAAAATACACGTCATGCCTTCCCTAGGAGTGATGTGTATAGCAGACATTCTGGAAAGGGTTCATTTTTTTCTCTAGCAATGCATGTAAGTGCTCTCTGCAACCAGTTATACCTCATCTGAAGCCAAGTGTCTCTTTTTTTTCACTGCTCCTCTCAAAAGCATGTATTTTTTTAGAAGGCTTACAGCAGGGAGTTTGTGTTTTGTAAACACAAAAGTCAGGATAATTATCAAAAGCCAATCAATAATGCACTGTACCTAAAACCACATCAAAAGATGGCTTTCCTACCTCTCATAAGAGCCCTTTGATTTTTTGAGCCAGGGTCACCAGGCAGTAGATAGAGGTGGCTGTCTATTTATTCCGAGGAAGGACATGCATCATTTAATACTGAGCTTTCCAAATTTCTGTGCCGCCTTCTACGTAGCAGCAAATATGAACAGCTTTGGTACAGTGTGCATAGTGTCTTTATCTAATATAGTCATCCATTAGTACTTCACCAATCATGGATATCAACAATTTAGGTATTTTGTGGTGGAGACCATAGGTTCTTCAAGAAATGAATCATCTAATCCTTGCAGATTCTGCCAAAACACATATTAAACTGTGAAACTTCAGAGCAGATCTTTCACCACTTGATGAGTTCATTGCATTTCTACTAGAGAATTGCCTCACTTAGACTTATTTATTACCACCTTAGAAAAACATGACCAGAAAGAAGAGACAGACCCTGAGCTTTGCCTGATACTATCTGCTTGGTCAAACTTTGGTAGTAAAGGGAAGAGGTAGAAAAAGACAGGAGATCTTTCTTAACAGGAAAAGGTTTTTACACTGCATCATTTGTAAGGGACAAATTCCAGCCTGTACAGCACCCCAGCACTCCACTGACAGGCACATGTATTTCATTTCTAAACAAGACTGAAGAGCTGCACAACTGGCCCAGCAAGTCAAGCCTTCCACTGGTGAGTGGAGCTGTGCTGCGGTCTATCAGCTGAAGATCTGGTTGTGTCTGTGTTTGACTGAACTACCTGGAGCTTTTGCACTAGTTCCACAGGAAGTGTTTTAGTCGGAATAAGACTGAGGGAGGAAAAACAACAGCTCTGTATTTTTTTTTTCTGGTAATTAAAGGAAAATCCTGATGGCACATTCTACTAAGCTTTGTTGACTTCAGTCATATATAAGGGAAGGAGCATCATTTCAGAAGGGACTTTCAGAGAAGGTAGGAAAAGGGAGGGTTAATACGAATGTGCAGTTAGTGTGTGATGCCCCTGGAATCAGGAAGAGGTTATTGAGGCAGGAGGAAGGAAGGTAATTAAGCCAGGCCATGGTTAGTATAAATCTTGTGGCATGCTTTGAGGTCATCCTTATGGGAGCAAGTAACACTTTCTTTTAGGGTGTTGGCACAAACTTCTAAGTGGTAAAATTCCTTCCTCAGCAATTCATTTGTCCTTTACTGTTAAATATCTTCTTTTGTTGTGTACAACTCATTCACAACTTCTGCTGACAAAAACCAAACTGCTGGTCCACTGGTAATATGATATTTAAAAAAAAAAGCAGGAGATAAGAGATGTAAGGTATGCAGGGGACAAAAGTCAAACAGTCAAACATGCCCCAAAAGCGGAATGACTGAGGCAGCCAGAGACCCTACAGATTTATCTCAGCACTTCTCTGAAGCAAGAAGAGCCTCTAGCTGAACTCCACATCTTCTCCTGATGTCCATGAGGAGTCAGTCCTGCACCTCTAGTTCGATTTTACTTTCAGACTGGCCCCCTGTGTTCAGTGAAAGAGGTTTCATTTGAAAGTAGGAGCAGCCTGAGAAAGGTGAAGTTTAAGGTACTCTTAAAGGTATTTTGAATAAAGAGCACTGTCTCCAGCAGTGCATAACGCACACTGGATGGGAAAAGACTTTACTAAACTGAAAACAAAGCAGCGCTATTCATTTAAATATTGCATTATTGTATTTAAATAAAAAGTAATTAATTATAGCCATATTCCCTTAGGACCTGAGCATCCTGGACCTGATCCAGTGGAGTACTTACTACTTAGCTTTGAACACAAGTGGGTTGTTGACTGCATTCAGCTGATCTGTTGTTTGAAATGAAGCATGTCCTTGAGATTTTTACTTGATGGGGATCACAGTCCACAGCATCTTGTGGGACCGAGTCTGATGTAGCTTTTATATTATTACCCCTTACAGAATAGCCTGATCATTTTTCCATAGTTAAAACTGGGGAACTATAACCCCCCCCCCAATAGTAATAAAATACTGTGACAGAAATGGGGCTAATACCATTGCAGTAGCATTAAAATGTGTGTGCAATATCTGTTTTCAGGTTACCAAGGCAGCTTTCACTCAATACAAAACTGTTTCCACTATGGAGACTGCTACAGAACAATGGACCAGTCTGTCACCAGCGATGTGCTAACAGGGGAATCCCATTGCTTTAATCCTCTGAGACAGAACGGCTATCACATCCTCAATGCACCTTTAGCTTCAACAGGTAATTTATTCTGCCTATAAAGAATTATCCATATGATGTTTTTAGCAGGAGTGGAAAAGAACACATTTTAAAGTCAGTGTTATTACAAAAATAGCTTTGCATAAAAAACTCAGTCATTGAAATTCATTTGCATCTATAAATATCTCAGAAGGAAAGCAAATTCATTTTCTTTAATCCTCCTGTATTTGACTGATGGACAAATTCTCCTTTCATTCTGCTGCATGTCATAGGCAACACACACCTTCAGGAGAGCTGACAAACCAGATGCTTCTCAAATTTATTGTGTGGGCTATTCACTGTACATCTCTTCAGGTATGCTCAGGCAGGCTTTTATAATCAGATCAAAGTTAAGAAGATCGTTAACACAGCTCTGAAGAAAATAGCAGCAGCAGGGACTTCCTGTCCATCTAAGAGTAAAAGGATGGCTTTGTTTTGCAATACTGGTGTTTACAAAATGGAAAGACACTGCTTCGATAAATTCAGCTGAAAATACTAGTTCGTTCCTTTTTGTTCAGAAGGTCCTTTATTGCTGAGCTAGTGCACATTCATGGGAATTGTATTTTCCCAATTAGCTATGTACTTGCGTAATGCAAAATTTGCATATAGTACTTCAATATAGAAGTATTCCTTTTTATAAAGCATTTTTTCCTACTTCTAAAACCACAGTTAAGAATTGGTAGAATTACTGAAATCAAACAAAATGTGAGTATTGTTAGAGCCATGAAACACTACCATTTCCTGCAATCTTTACTTACATATCTCTAAGAAATTTTTCTTCATGTCTGAATTCAGGAGGGCATCTCGGTTATGGACGATACAGAAAACATATGTTTAAATGCTTTTTGAAATGGGGCCTGAGTCAGACCACAAAATTAGAGTTGACTTTCCTGTTTGTTTTGTATTAAAGGAGACTCTGTTCAGAGAGAGCGTGCATGCATTTGTCTGTTCTTCCATACTAGAAAGTGTATGCATCAGTAACAAACACAAGGGAAAAGTTTAAGATGAAGTTTCAACTTCAACTTTGAATTCTTTTGTGTTATTCATAAGTTTGATGTTACTAAAACATAGTTTTTTCATGTTAACATCAAATTTCAAGTTTAGATTGACAGCGTGCAATATTTAAAGAACAGACTAAATAAACTTTCCAAGAGAAATTGTAGGAGCAAAGAATAATACTATGGCAAGACACCAACTTCAACAACAGTTGATTTTTCTGTCTGGGGATAAACTATTATGAAATGTTTCTGTGTAATATTTTGTTTTTAGAGTGGTTATTGAGGTATGCAAATATTTAAGAGGCTGAAACATAAATATATATGAAATATATAAAACTTATCTCATCTTTTTGTGTGTAAAATAGAACCATTCAGGTTTACAAGATTCATCAAGGCTATGCATTAATTTTTTTCAGGCTTTTATAGCACCATTAATATTAAATGAGATCTCGTCTCACAGGAA